CATGACCGGGGTGTAGACAGCGTGGGTCTAGATGGTTTAGACGGTCATGACCGGGCTGCAGACAGTGTGACTATCATGAAACCAGGCAGTATCAGTGTTCTGATTTGAATTTCTGTGGGGTTCTCCTGAGAAATATGCTATCCTTTTTTCTATATGATTCTTGAATTTGTGGTTTTAAGGCTCACCCTCACCCCTGCAAGGCCCCTGGGAGGTAGTAACCCAACAACACCCCGAGGAAGGCCACGGGGCAGTAAAGATTCTCAAAGCTGGCCAGATAGCTCCTCCCATCCCTGGACACCCCCCTTTGCAATGTGACTCTGCTGCTCCTCCTGTTAAGAGGTGGAATCCATTTTTCTCACCAGGAGTCTGGTTTGGACTCAAGACTAGCTTTGACCCACAGGATGTGGCAGAAGTGAGGCTGTGAGATCTTCCGGAACATGGTGACCCCACGGGGGCAGCCCAGGCTGGCTGTGGAGTCTGAGACCGTCTGAGGCCCCTGGACCGAGCAGCTCCCACCAGGTGACTGCAGCCACATCAGTGAGCCAGGTAACACCAGCAGGAGAGCTGCCCAGCTGGGCCCGGCCCAAACTGTGGCCCACAGAACTGTGAACAACAAAAAGGCTGTTGTTTTAAGCCACTCCATTTTGGGTTTGTCTGTTACGCAGTAAAAGAAGCTGTTTTACACATGGAGAGAATCTGGGACTGTATGAGTCAAAAGAGTCCATGAATATGGCCTCCAGACACCCTTTTAATTCCGTACTGAAGTTACTCCTGAGGTTTACCCTTCAGCCAAAGATCAGACAGGTCTATAAAACCAACAATAAGACACATAAGGGACATGCTTCATAGTTTAATCATGTAGACGAGACTAACGGGCACACGAGCCCAAAAGCAAAGACGGGCCGGCAGGAAGGGAGAAGAAAACTGGACGAATGGAAACAGGGAACCTGGGGTGGAGGAGGGAGAGTGTTGACACTTCACGGGGTTGGCGACCAGTGTCACAAAACAATTTGCGTATCATCTGTTTAATGAGAAACTAATTTGTTCTGTAAATCTTCACCTAAATCACACACACACATAAAAAAAAAGGAGCAAAGAGTTTGCAGACAATATGGGGGAAAAAAGACTCCGTGAAGCTTACTGTAAACATCAGTGAACCTGAATGATCAAAAAACAACAACTTAAAAATAAGGAACCCTCCCCCCAGCTGCCAGAGCCAGCCTGAACGGGGACGCACCATACAGCAAAGCCCAAAGTGGAGAAAAATCCACTACCTCCTTAGTGTCTGGGGAAGAAGGATAAAAACATTAGAATTCTGAGGCAGCCATTGCCTGATTATTAGAAATAATTAAACCTGACTTCAGAGTTTTATCATTTTTAACCTCCTGGAGCTCACATCTTGCAGACCCCTCCCTGTGGGCAAGGGTGGGACCTGGAGGTGGTGGCTCCCTGTGAGAGCCCAGAGGACAAGGAGCTGAGCTTGACCCCTAGCCAGCAGTCCCCAGGGAGCCGTGTCCTGCTGACAGCTCCTCTGTGAGCAAGCTGGAAGCAGACCTTTCCTGAGCTGAGCCCTGGGTGAGCCCCCAGCGTGAGCCGGCAGCATGCCTGCAGCCTGGGGAGGAGAGGCCGGGTGAAGCCGCGCCTGGATCCCCGACCCCAGATTGCAGAAACAAACGTGTGCAGCTGAAGCAGCTTAGTTTGGGGTGACCTGCTATGCAACAACACGTAGGTAGTACGTTTCTCCAAGTGTGTTACTCCCCTGTCTTTTCAAAGCAAAAAACAAGGGATTTCGCTGCAGAAACACTGTTAGCCAGCACCCCCTTGGTCTGGCGCGTTGTGCAGATAAGCCATGAGCATGCATGCTTGTGAGTTTAGGAAGGGACCTGGGTCTGGACTGCTCACGGCCCCTGAGAAGACACCTGTCCCATCCTCCTTGGCACGGGGCTCCTGGTGGCACCCACAGTGACACGCTGCCCCATGACAGCAAACCAGGCCTCACCGAGGCTTCTGGCAGCACTGGGCATGTGCACACACGGGACACTTGCACACACGGGACACAGGCACGCATGGGACCTGCACAGCCGACTGAGTGCACGCCGGGCTGGCTTACCCGTGTCGACCAGTGCTTCCGGACGGGCCGCGGCCTGAACCGTCAGGGTGTGGAACAACTGCCAGAGGGCGCACGGGTAGCCCCTCAGCTCCGGTCTGCTTCCTTGACATCCAACCCACTTGACGTGACTGGTGAGAAATAGTCCAGAAATCTGGAAAAAAGGAGAAGAACAAAAGATAATTTTTAAAATTAAAAACAGTCGACCCCTGTCTCGTACCTTGACGGGGGCTATGGTGGCATGTAAGATCTCTGCATTTCACCATACATAAATTTAAACTCAATAAAAAAACAGATTTGAGGAAAAAAAATTGACAAGAAGTCTCTATTTTACTGTGTTGTTGTGTGCTGTTGACTCGATTCGGACTCATAGCGACCCCACAGGACAGAGAAAAACTGCCCCACAGGGTTTCCAGGGAGCGGCTGGTTTCCAAGGAGCAGCTGAGCTCTTAACCACTGCACCACCAGGGCTCCAGCTATTTTACTACAGGAGTTCCCAAAATATGGAAACGCGACCTGTTCTTTTCCCATTTGGGGGGAGAAAGGAAGAATTTACTCCTTTCTTGGTAAATTAGCAATATTTAGCCTTAAAGACACCCACCTTTCCTTTAAAACTCGAAATGGTTACGATGAAACTAATAAAGAAACGCGCAGCTGTCGCACAGTTCTCAGCCAGAACAACAGGGATGATCGTGTTGTAAGAAGTGAGGTGACGGCCTGACGTGGTCGTGACAGAGATGAGGGAGGAAATGCCTCCACCTCCACACAGGGCAGGCCTGACCCTGGTGACCTAGCCTCCCCTCTGTCCGGGCCCTGAGCCTGGGGCCTGGCCGGTCTCCCCATGCAGAGAACTACACGTGGAAGACAGGCTGGGGTAAGAAGCTCGGTGCCACCTCCTCCTAAGCTGGGAAAGGCAGGTGATGGAGCCAGCAGAGCGCCGGCACAGCGACACACTCATGGAGCCTCAGAGGCGCCTCAGGCTGACAGGGCAGCGTCCCCACAGACCTCAGGCTACTAGGCTCTCAGGGTGGCCAGAGGGGCCGCTGGCCTCGCACTGCGGGGGAAGCAACCTGCCTCGTGCTGGTCCCCAGGCAGGGCTCCCACCTTGTTCTTATTAGACTTCATGTGCGGGATGCAAATGAGTTCACTGGAAGCTTAAAAAAAGCCCTGGAATTACACTGCTCATGAAACTGCCCATTTCCAGGGAGGCAGGTGGCTTCCGTGTCTCGCTGTCCTTAGACTGGAGCACCCGTGTGAGATGACAGCACCCCAGGCCTCGTGAGGTCGGGGCCTGGCTGTGGGGGAACGGGGACACCCAGCCATGGGGGCCTTGGGTTGTCCCAGGAGGCAGGAGGAAGCAGTAAGGGAACATGGTGCCAGGGGCCCGGGAAAGGACGGGAGGGCTCACCCGCATCTTGTTGTTGACCAGGTCGAGGACAGCCTCGTAGGGGATCCTGTCCAGGGGCAGGCTGGCTAGCCACTCCTGCAGCATCTCCAGGAGCTTCATGACGGGCGGCCGGCCGGGGAGCAGCTGTGCGAGGAGGCCGCACTTAGACACCAGCTGTGGGGCTGGGCCCCAGAGCCCGCCCCTAACGCAGGCCCCCAGGGTGTCAGTCTGAGAGTCGGGAGTGGGCCTCTCCCCCAGAGGAGGGGGGACCTCTCTGGGCAGTCCATGCCGTGCCCAGCTCCTCCACCCGTCCTCCTGGGCCGCCCATGCCGTGCCCAGCTCCTCCACCCGTCCTCCTGGGCCGCCCATGCCGTGCCC